TATGAATATAAAATTAATTTAATTGATATATTTTCGCAATAGGCTAACATTAATTTGGGCAAAAGCTCAGTTTGTACAGCTGTTTTGGAAAGCTCTTGAGCTTTGCCGTTAAGGGTTGCTGCATGCGTGAGCTGCTGCTGAATTTTCTTTTGCATTTTCCATTGGTTTACATTTCGGGCCACCGAGTTGGGCTGCTTTGATATTATATTTACTATGAACAGGTAATGAAACCTTTCGTTAAGACATCGAAAGTAACATTTTGAAAATAAATTGTGCTACGCCAAGTGCAGCTCGAGTATCAGAAATCAGTGGAAAAAAAAGAAACTACGCAGGTTTTGTGCTGTTACCAAAAAATCAATAAGCGTGTAAAATTTGTAAACACGCCAAGCCCCCGTAACGCGCAGCTCCAGTCGAGCCCCCCGCCCACTCACACACACACACACACACACACACACACACAGAGAGAGCGTCAGTGAGCTGTGTCCGGGCAATTAGCCAAGAGGCTAACCACAAGTCAGCTGCAAAATGTTGTTTAAGCTGTTGCCGCTCCAGCTGCTCCATCTGCTCCAGCTGCCGCTGCTCCTCATGGCAGCTGCCGGGCAGCCGGAGTACGCGGCCAGCGCCAGCGCCACGCATCGCCTGGCCAAGCGCATGGACCTGGAAGTTTGCATAGGTAAGGGATTGGCGCGTTACCTGGTGAGACGCTCTCATTTGACCATCTTCTGCAGGCCACTTCGACGTGCACAAGAACACAATCATTCGCACGGGCGAGTCCCAGGCGATTGGCGGCAAGTATCTCCAGGGCCTGGAGCTGGACACGCTGGAGGAGTGCGAGCGTCTGTGCTGCGAGACGGATGCCTGCGATGTGTACATCTTTGAGCGCAAGTCGGGCGGCTATTGCTACCTATTCGAGTGCGGTCCGCCCGAGAATTTCCACTGCAAGTTCACGCGGCATGCGAACTACACGAGCGCCGTGCTGACCCCGCAGGTGCGCAGCTCCATGGAGCTGGCTAGCACGCCGCGTCCCCAGCTGCCGCACATACCCAGCAACAATATCTCGCAGCAGGAGTGGGAGCTGAGCAACCTGAAGCTCAAGCCGGAAGCGCAGCGCGACAAGCCCACCATTGCGATCATACCCACAGCGGGTAACTCTCAGTCTGTGGGCGTGGCGCAGGCCGCACTGGCAGCAGCAGCAGCGGCTGCACCTCAAAGCGGTTCGTAACCAACACGCTGACACATATTCATTATGCAAATGCCAATTCCCCACCTTTCGCTTCCCCTTTGCAGTGCCCGCCCCCCACTGCGGCCGCTTTCAGTTCAGCTGCCACTCGGGCGAGTGCATTGCCGTTTACAATGCCTGCGACGGCATTCCCCAGTGCGAGGATGGCAGCGACGAGGGACCGGAAGTGAGTTAGCCAATACACACACACACACGCACACACAGACAAAGGCAGACACACATGTTAACACACAAGCTCAGCTTCTATCAGATTTTCACAATTGTTGACCAACTTTTCAGTGCAATGCCGTTGTCACAAAGCTCAGCAGCAACAACAACAACAACAACAATCTGGAGCAATATCAGCCAGTGCCGCCCATACAACAACAATTGCAGACAGCACAGCAGCAACAGCAGCAGCAACAACAACATGTTATAGTGCTCGGTCCCCCACCGCCACCACCACCTCCACCGCCCATGGTTAACAATCGAGAGGATGCCTCCGCCTGGGCTAATCGCAAGCTAATTACCGAGACACAGCAGCAGCAGCAACAACAACAACAACAAAAGCAACATCAGCAACCGCAAAAGATTGTGAATATGGGTAAATATGAATAACAATTGCGAATAATTCACATGAGTCAAGATTGAATGAGCAAATCTAAAGTCGAAATATACTATTTTTAATAGAAGTAAATAGACTATGACAAAAATAATTAGTTAATAATCATTTTGAAGAGTAGGTCATATTTGAATAAGAAATAATCATCTGGATAATAAGAGTAGCTAATAGGTAGAACAGCTAGAATCTATAATTTATAGTAGATTTGAAATGAGTGCGAATCTTTGCTCAAGTTATCTGAGGCAATATTTTTATTCAAACTTCCTAATAGAAATTTCAAATATAATCTCATTAATAATAATAATGATAATTAATATATGTATATAACAGCTGTGAAAATAATTTGAGTTTAGGTTAGGTATATATTACTTAAATATATAACTTATAAAGTAGGCAGCTATAAAGTATAATAAATTTATTTAAAAACATTTTAAGCACAAGTCTAACTTTCTAGTTTACACAGTTGGATAAATATTCATGAAATTTATAGGGTATCTCCTAGTCAGCTAAACATTTTAATAGGTTTAACAGCAAAGTTAAAGCACAACCATAGTCCCAACTTTCTAGTTTACCCAAACACCCAGCACATTCGGCTGCCCATTTACTCTGACAGAGCACTTCGTAGGTGCGCCCTAGGGTGCTGCTAGGCCTTATTTACGTAAACAGCACAAAGATGCGGTCAACGTAAATTCTGAAGAAACTTTTGTTTTTCATTTCTGGCCTGCAAACGTGGCCATAAACTATGTAAACCTTAGGTCATCAACAATGCTTGGCAACCCAGGGGACACAGGTTGACGGTCGTTCATATTGCGATAATTTCTGTTTACAGTAACTTAACTTTATCAAACTTATACCATAGCCAATTGGGAATTGGCGAAGTTTTATTAATGTTGCATTAAATGCGGGCATTGCTTAAATTTCAATTTTCCAGAGGCCAACATACGCGTAAGCCTCATTTCCTCTCTAATTGCTTAACGACAGACGCTCGTAACTAAGCAATTCAATTTGTTGGGTATTCTCAATATCTGCAAAGGTGCTGCAATCCGCAAGCAAATTGTATATGTCGGGGAAGAGTATGAAAAGCGGAAAAGCGAATCAATTCAGTTTGCTTGGAGATTTCGCTCTGACTATCCATGAAGGAACAAATATTTCAGGTTATTTTGAGCAAAGCAGGCGGTACTCTCTATTCTGCCTTGACTACCAGCGTAGAGATAGTCTGGAGATAGACATAAGAAAGTTGAAGCTGAAATTAATTATATGTATTAGTATTATTTTAGAGTATACATACATATGTGTATATCTTATAAGAGATATATAGAATATATCAAATATACTCTATATAATATACTCTACATAATCAGTACATTCAAATTACGTAAGCTTCAAGTTTCTTCTGAAAATATATTATTTTTTTTAGAGACCTTTTATAATTTATAATTGGTTTTCATTTCAACAATAAACTTTAAAAGCTCTTAAAGACTAAAGTTTGACAATCATATTAAATAATATGAACGAACGAACGATGTTAGCCAGATATGAGTGTAAACTGGTGTGAGATTGATGAAAGAATGGACATGAAATGAGACGTATGAACTATGAACTATACATTAATGTGAGAATTTCGCAAGGGAAGAGTGAGGTGTGGGCTCATATGTACTACTATGCACTGAATTTAATATCTGTTATCTGCATCATCTCAAAGTCCTCAAATGATGTTATGAAAACAGCTAACAAGTTATGAAATCAGCTAAAAATGCAATAAATATTTATAGCAAAATGTAATAACTGCTTCGAGGCTTTTGCTAAAAAGCACACACAATGAAGTTTGCTTGTCTCGTGTGTGACATTAGCACATAAATTGCTGGCAAAGAGCACGCAATGGCTCCATCTCCAGCTCCAGCGTCAGCTCCAGTTACGATGACCACTCTGGCCAATTGGCTGCGGGCACTTGAGAAGTTGCTGGGAAAATGGCAATTACCCATCAGTTTTCATTGTTGTAATGGGAGCCCGTCACTCCGAATTGATTTACGAGTGTGTTAGTGAGTAGGAGTGCAATGTAGCCACTGCGTGTGTGTGTGTGTGTCGTTCTGGTCTCGATGTCTACTTGTAATTAATTCAATTAGCTGTGCGTTTAACCATTCGCTTCCTCAACAGATGAACAGCTGAACAGTCACATCTTCAGTCATAAAGGCGGCCTCCAACTCCAGCAGCAGCAGCAGCAGCAGCAGCAGCCGTCGACAAATAGTCAGGGGCAGGTTCAGGGCCAGCCACCCCCACCTGCACCGCTGGCACCACAGTCGCCACAGTCGCCGCCACAGCTGCAGTTGCCATCGTATAATACTAATAACAATGCAGCGCCCGCTGGTGGCGCTTTGTATGGCATGTCGCTGCCACGCACAGGAATTTATCTGCAACAACAGCAACAGCAGCAGCAGCAGCCGATGCCGCAGCAGCAACAGTCTCAGCAAGTTGTTAACTGGCCACAAGTTGCGGCGCCGCCAGCTCAAATTGCTGTGCAGCAGCCGCAACAACAGAGCCACGCCTACATAACTGCTGCAGCAGTACCAGCACCAGCACCAGCAGCAGCTGCACCACCACCAGCTCCACCAGCACCACCAGTCCAGCCAGCACAGTCAGCTCAGCCAGCGCCAGCGGCAGCACAGTCGCCTCAGCAAGCCATGTTGCCAGTGTTGAATGCAGCGCCCACTCATGACAAGAATCAGGCAGCTGACGAGGATTACGATGACTACGAGGAGGATAAGTCTACAGAGCCGCCCAAGAAGGTGAGCTGCAAAGTGCCCAAGGTATTTCTGCCCGCTTACTCTAGAGATCTCTTTTGCAGAAGCAGCACAAGCACAAGAAGGTCAAGGGCAAGACGGCCAAGGATCCCATTGAGCTGGCGCTGGAGCAGAACAAGCAGCAGCAGCAACAGTTGCCGGCGCCCGTTGGCCCCGTGCACGAGCAATACAAGCTAATACACGAGAATCTGGCGCTGGAATTCCGAGATCACGACGGTCATTCCGAGCGCCCCGGCGGTGCGGTGCTCTCCCTAACATTGGGTCTGCTCGTCACTGCGGCGCTCTCCATTCTGATTGGCTGTCGAATGCGCACAGTGGGGCGACGAGCTCGTCGCATGGGCGGCAAGACCCCCTACTCCCAGGAGGCTGACTTCCTCGTCAATGGGATGTATCTATAATGCGGGGTATCTGTCGTAGTTTACCACATCAACATACATACATACATATATATATATACCGATTTCTGTGCCAGTCTCGTTAGGGTTGGGGGTTTTCGGTCTCAGATGCGCAGCTGGCGTCAGGCAGTCTGATGCCATATGAACCGAAGTTAGTTAATTGAATTGAATGTCGAACATATTTTATATAAACAATTATATATATACATACAAAATAAATAAAACTTAATTTAAAGTATTCAATTTTGCTGAAAATTAAATTGTGTTCAAAAAAAAAAAAAACTTCTTCATATTGTTTAAATTTTTTCTTTCAGTAAATCATCAAGCAAGAAGTGATGGAATGGATATATTGGGTTTATATTCTAGAAGTGTATAACTCCTAGATAGTACAAATACAAAGAGGAGTAGGCTTGATTATATACAAACTAATACTAAGCTAATACCCAAGGTGCCAAGATCATTCGAATCTGACAATTAATTTATACAAAATCTATTTTTCTTAGATTTGAATATAAAGCTGACTAAAGAGTCATTTTATATACATAGCCAGTATACTTAGATTTATCATTGTCAATGGGTTAAACCTATATAAAATTCATTATTTATTTTTTTAGTTAGTCTTATAAAAAATTCGCACAAGAATAAATTAATTTTGAAATCAAATTTCCCGCATATTGGATTAGACCTGCAAATAAAACTATATAAGAAATATAGTAAATTTGTCAAGATATTCCCATCGACTAATTGAAGTAGAATTAATTATTAATTCACTATTATCGAAACTATTTAAGGAAATTGTTTACACTTACCAGGTTCATAAATCAATTCCATATACGTAACTAAAAGTAGTCAAATGAAATATAAAAATTCTTTTCCATCGTAAATTTTAATACTTTTGTTTAGAACAAAACAAATAAATAATTAGCATTCGGAGACGCATTTGCATTACATTTTTTAAATAGTTTCCTTTATTTTGTTTTTCTTTTTTATTATTTAAGTTCTCTTGCTTGTAAACTTGTTTACTTATGTTTTTGTTTTTTCTTTAATTTGAGTCATTAAAACTACAAAATAATAGGAAGTTTTTCATTGTTTTCATTTTCTTTTCTTTTTTTTTTTTTTTTAGATTTCATTATAAATTTTTGCATTTTGTTAAAAATACCACGCAAATTTCGTGAATTTCATATTTTGTAATATTTATTCATGCTCGCATTTCCAATAATAATACACAATTTTTACAGCACGAGAATAGCCAAAGAACAAATTTGACGCTTATGGATATCACATTAAAACAAAAACTAAATCAAATTGTTTATATAAGTAACAAAAAGTTGTTTTGCAATTTGGAAAAGTTGTGTCTTATATTGTTGTATAAATATACTGTAAATCGTTTTTACATTGAGTCTTTTTTTGTCAAGTTATTTTTTCTTTTATATTTTTCCTTTTTTGTTTTTGTTGCGGCCAGTTAATTGAAAATTTCCACAAAATTAGGAAATTTGCTGCCCTGACGATTTGTTATTTGTATTGTTTGTTGTGTTAATAAGTATATTTACTAAAATAGGCTTTGTTTGTTGTTAATTGTTTAGCTCCATTTTTACTTAACACTGTACAGATACTCGTAATGTAAACTAATTGTATTTATAATTATTTATTTATGTAGTTGATTAGTAAATATGCCAATGTGAAGTTTAATGATGCGTTTATTATGGTTCAATATGTTCTTATTGCTGTTTCTGCTTTTGTTGGTTTGCCGAGTTGCTTCTCAATCAGACGAAATTTTGAGCACGCAACCGCAAATTGTTTCGATTTCATTTTTACAATCCATTCGAATGCATAATTTATTATACATATATCCAACTAGAATGCGTGTGAGTGGAATTTAAATAATGATTAAGTTACAGACAGTTCCAGGAAAACTCATGTTGACTTCTTTATATGACTTGTGTGGTTTAACTATTTACTACTGTTAGTTGGTTGGTTGCTGCTGCCGTTGCTTTTGTTGTTGTTGGTTGCAATTGTCTCCTTGTGTGTTATGTTATGTTTATAGTTAGCGTACTTTAATATATTTATTTATAATTTGCGAATTTTCGTTTCTTGCTGCAGCTTGTGGTACGTGTTTAATGCTAGGATCTGCGCATCATGTTGCGTACCTGTGAAAAGATCGAAATTGAAAGTTGCTCGATTAATCTATCTACGATTCCACTTACCGCTTTGTCCAAAGACGCGCAATTCGATCATGCTCCTCTCGATTCTGCAAATATTGCGTGGCAATGCTGCCAACCAGAGGATCAGCTAAAAGCAAAGAGATCACAAGTTACTTAACATTAAATGGGATTAGATGTTAACATTGTACTTACCAGGATTACAATCTGTGAGCAGGGAACAAATTGAGAGTAAAACTTTTGATATGGTCAGCGCCGGCGACCAATTGTCCTTGAGGATGTCCAGACAAATGACGCCCTGGCTATTGATATTGCAGTGATAGATGCGAGTTCTAAATGTGACTTTGGGCGGCTTAAACGGATACTCGGGCGAGAAATGTATGTCCAGGAAGAATACGCCGCCCTCATAGACGGATCCAGGTGGTCCCAATATGGTCGAGACCCATTCATACAGATTATCACCCTTGGGACCGGCACTACAATTGGGCGGCGGATCCAGTGTGATTTCAGCCAATTCCTTCTGTATGCGCTTGGCCGAGGTGCCCAGTGCTTTAGATATTCGTGGCGTTGACTTCGTATCCTTACGCGGCTCATCGCTGGTGGCGGTTGCCGTTGAATTGTTGCTGCCCGAAGCAGCATTGGCGCCAGCACTGCCGCCATTCGTATTGGCGCCGCCACGCCCGCGTGCTGGTGTGCTTGCGGCTGTAGTCTGATTGGTGGAGGCAGTGCTACTAGAGGAGCCGGAGCTCGATGTGGCCGCAACGCTGGAGCTAGTGGCACTGCTGCCGGCACCAGACGCTGCTGCTGGAGTTGAGGACATGATGTTGTTTACAGTCTTTTTGTATGGTGTGTCTTAGCTTTAAGGAGGGCTGCAATGGAAAATCAAAATCGATAAAATATGCCCGCTTCAATGCTGATTCAATAGAAACAGCTTTATTTGTCATTAAACAAAAGAAGCTCTCTGAACAGAACAGAGATTAAGAATCCAATTTCAAGTTATCAGACATTCATAATCTGGCGTTGCCACCCGATAAAAAGCGCAATTTCGTAGCGAATAAGAAAAGAAAAAAATCAATTCAACTGAATGGAAATGTCGTGACGGCATAAAACATTTGAGCCAACAATTAAACACAGTACTGAACTAGATTATTTGCCATTGAACTAGATGCCACAGCACTAACGCTTCTTGCGACAGGTCCTTGACCCGTTTCGCTGTGTGGCGACAATACGCAAACAAACTGAACAAAATTGAGAACCCGAAAGCCTCATGCCACAATCTATTCATTTAAAGCCCCATCGGATTAAATTTAATCACCGGAGCGCGCTACCCGTGCAGAGAGAGGCGCAGAGACGAGCGGCCATTTTGGCAAGCGTTGCCGCCGCCGCTGCTGCTACTGCTGCACGCAGAGGGGCAGCAGCAGCCTTTGGAGTTTGCTATTGGCCATGACAAAGGCCGTGCTGTAAGCGCCTAGTTGTTGTGTTTAATTTTAGCGTTTACTGAGAAACATGCAGAGGATTGTTGCTTGCACGCGGATGCAGTTAAAAAATCAATCATCTCAGCGCAGACATTTGCAAAACGCGTTCAGTGCGATGTCGCTGTCGCCTCGCTGTCGTTCGCATGATTGCACAATTTGAACCATTAGCACATTGTTGAACTTAGACAAAGAACTGCACGGGGTTATTTGTACGATACGCACCTTTTGGAATTAAAATTTGATTATTTTTACGTCGCGAAAACACTGCAAAATTATTCTGCTCCCTGTAGTCGCGCTCACTCTCTCGCCTCTCTTTCTTGTTCGCTGTCTTACACTTGGCCGCGTTGTTTTTGCTGTGCTGTTCTTTGTTTGGCAAGTGTTGCCTCACGCGTCGCACTTCACACGTTAATTGTCCGGTTTGTTTGTTCTTGTTAAATTTTAAATTCATTAAATTTGCAGCAATTGTTGTTAAGCTGGTCGTTGTCGAACAGTTAGGCAGACAAGCGGTCGACCGCTCTTGATATTTCTTTTGTTGTTAATTTTATATCGATGCAGCATTGTTATCGATAGCTGTTAAGAGCGTGTACAATATATCGCCGGTAGCTAGGCTATTGCAAAAATCTTACTCGATAGTTGTTATGACAAAAAAAGTGTAATTTTATTTAAACTTAGCGACGTCTAGCAGTTACTATATATAATTTGTATATGTCCAAATTTTACTTTGTTTCCATATTCTCAACAGTCGCTTTGCTCGATTTAAAGACACGCACTGTGTTATCTGCACCACCAGAAACAATGTATTTGGGATTCGACCAGTCAATGTCCAGAACCTTTTCGCCATGCCCAAGCAAATCGTAGAGCGGTGCCTTGGGACTTCTGCAATCCCACAGCTTGTTCTGGTTATCATATGCACCCGATACAAATAGAAACTCCTCTGTAATGGACCACATCACAGTCTGCACCCAGGCATTGTGACCCAGGTAAGTGCTGCGTACCACCGAACCCTCTGAAAAGGGGAAAAATATTAATTAACTCAGTTTTTATAAATTTGGACATAATTTAAGTATGACATACGATTGGTTCGCGCATCATATAGACGCAGATTTTTATCCGCTGATGCGGTAACAATTAAGTTATTCAATTTGGAGTAACTGGCATCGAAGATAGACTTGTTGGTCGATATTTCTGTCTTGATACCTTCCAGGTTCAGATCCCAGACTTTGAGCGTGTGATCCCAGCTGCCAGTTAGCAATGTATTATTGTCCATCCACTGCACGGCTGAAATGCTCTCTCGATGGCCCTGCAGCGTCATTCGCGGCGTCTATGAATACGTAATTAAAATATATATGTTTTTTATATTAATGTTAGGTTGAATCCGACTTACTCTAACGCCGCTCTCCTTGGCACGCTTGGCGGTGCTCTCGCCAGCATCTTCCAGTTCAGCTGACCATATCTTAAGCATCGTATCCCAGGAACCAGTGGCAAAGCGCTGTGCATCTGGGCTGACACAGACACTATCGACGCCACGTTCGTGACCCTTACACACGGATACACATTCTACGGCGTTCGAAGCGATATTCCACTGCCACATCATCGCTGTCTGATCTTGTGAGGTGGACACAAAACGGCCGTTTTCATTGTCGAGTGATATCCAGTCCACAGCCTTGATGGGCGCCGTATGACCGGGTATGGTGAGCTTATGCTTGCCCTTGTAGGTCCAGATGTTTAAGGTGTTGTCGTAGCAGCCAGTGAGTATCCATTTTCCGGATGCCTTAACAGCAGATACCCAATCGTCATGCAGCAGACAATCCTGTGGCTCTGGGGCTGGAAATCGTTCCACATATTCAATTTCAATAGAATCTTCAAAGCTGATTGCCTTCTCGCGCAGATGATCACACAGCCGACCGCGCAGATACTCATCGAACACAAGAAAGTCGAAATCAACGCTTTCGGCGCCTTTACTCTGCAGTAAAGCATTCAGAAATATATTCAGCTCCGTGGTGGAAACGCTGCCTTCGATCGCGTATGGCACATCGGGAACAGCATATCTGAAATAATATTTGTTGATAATAACTACCAACTATTAACATTCAAGTACTCACTGTTCTTGTTTGGTTTTCAGGTGTACTTGCACCTGCCCCTCGCCGTTTTCTACTTCCATCTTCCCGCACACGTGCGTTTCAATGCAGAGTTATTGTTTCGGTTGTGGGACTTGCGGGCAGCAGCTGAACTGTTCCGATGTCTTGCTCAGTGCACTTTTTCGGCCCTGCACAGCACAGCAGTGGTTTAAAAAATAATTATTGTTTATTTTAATTAATATACAATTATTTATAAATCAAATCGCTAAATAATTGTGGTGTGCACAAATACATTAGTGATGTGAATATGTTGGATACATCGATACGTTTGGTTATATCAGTGCGATTGCAATGAAAGCACCGGCTAAGCTGTGCTCACGAATTGCAGTAACTAAAGTGTATTTATGCTGTATAATTAGATTATTTGCTTATTTAAGAATGTTTAAAAGTCAAAGCCATAAAATCTACAATATTAAGGTATTGTAACCAAAGCGCAATAAATGGTGGCGGCTGGCGATAAGTGGAGGTGAGCTGCCAACTTGGTTTAGGCAATACACTTCTTATTTATTTACATGAGATGTTATCGTGTATTTAAAAATTTACCGCCAAATTCAACAGAAAACAATTTTTGCAGACAGTTTATATTTTTGACAAATTACCTATTAAATGCAGATGATGTTACAATCTCTTACTTAATCATGTATATCTTATGCAATTCAGACGTGCAGAAAATAGTAATATACCCAAAAACTTAATCGTTTATTAATTAATATTGATATGCGCTGCGCTGCGCTGCCAAAGAAACAAGAAAAAATGGAAAAAATATTATAGCTGCAGTTGCTGTTGACGGCTTACGCAAAAATATTAAAAACCATAGCTGGTTAGCAATTAACAATTCGGTGGCTCTTCAAGCCGTGCGCAATTGTTCAACTTCATTAATGCTGCCTCGCTGCGGCCATTAATGAACCAAATAGCAATGCCTACAACAACTTGTCTGCGCATTGGAAGGTTAAGCGCCTCTTGACATTTCTGTTATGCTTTAACCTTCGCGACAAGAGTGGTCAAATGCTCAATAATAACAATTTTATTATTTGGCTGCTCTAAAAATAATCAACTTTTATGGGTCGCTTGGCAAAAAGTAAATAAACCAAAGCCACCCATGGTAAACAATTAAGCTCTTTCATTTTTTACTTTTCTTGTATTTGACTGACCCAAGAAAAATAAGAAAAAAACTTAAAAAAAGAAAAAAAAAAATATCAAAACCAGAAATAAACAAGCGAAATGTTTGCGGGCGCCCAGCGACTTTCCAGACGCAGCGCCGCTTCCAGTGCGCGAGCTCAGCTTATAAAAAGCGTGCGGCGCCTGCGCAGCCGAATCATTACAACAAAGCTAACGCGCCAGGTAAGACAGCGAATGGTGTTTACAGTATAAAGAAACAAAAACATAAAGGAAAAAAAAAGAAACCAAAGAAAAGAAAGGCGTACTGAATAATTTGAATGAAACGCGCATCTCTCCTGCAGTTATTAGCCAAAATGAAATTCTTCGCGCTGTGCTCCGTGCTGTCCGTGCTGCTGCTGGCTGGCAGCGTGCGCTGCTTGCCACAGACCCGTGAGGGCGCCGCCTACTCGAACGAGGCCATCCGACAGGCGCAGCAGACGCTGCTCATACCCAAGGATGCCCAGATCCAGAACGTGCAGGAGGGCATCGAGCTGGGCGCCTACGAGCAGATACCCGGCAACCAGCGCATCAATCTGTTCGACATTCTCGGCGATACGGTGCCATCGGAGGTGATAAACAACCTGCAGACGCAGGTCGATCAAATTGGACGCAATTAATGGCAATCCCATAAATCATGCGATTTGGATATTTGCATTTTGTTAAGTTTACAAACCCGAAAACAAAACTAAAAAAATAATAAAAACAAAAAATCTTATTTAAGTATTACAAATGTGACTTGCTTTCATTCCCATTAACTTTGACTCTAGCTCGAACCGAAGCGAAAGTCTAGCTCCTACAAACCAGTTGCTCCTCTAATCGAAAGTGCTTTTCGGGGTCTAGCGCATGAAGACGCAGTCGAAGACTTTCTCCAATTGGTATCCCGCGGCGCATACGAAATTAACCAAAAGTTCGCTGCCAGCTCCTCAACCTTATTGCATAAGACTTGCTTTTTGTTGTTGTTGTTTAAGTGTATTTTTCATTACAGTTCAATATATTGAATGTTTGTCATTATTGTTGCCTGCGGCGTAAGCCGAAGCGCTGCTCTGCGGTCTCCGTTGCTGCTGCTGCGGCAACTTTTGCCTGTTGCCGTTGTGATGCAACATTTGTTGTTGCCGTGGCCGTCGCCGTCGTCGTCGTCGTCGTCGTTGGCTGTTGTCGTGATATTTGTTGTCTACGTTTTGTTCATTTAATTTCTTGGTAATTGCCGCCGCATGCACTTGCATATTTAATGAAAAGTCATGTGGAATTTTGTTGCTATTGTTGCTGTTGTTGTTGCTGTTGTTGCTGTAGGTGTGCTCAATTGCGCAACTGCTGCTAGGACAAGTGTGCGTACACGAATCTTCTTTAGTTCAAGTTTTGCTCGCGTTAAACTAAACAGCTGTGCCACAGCGCTCCTCTATGCGCTTCTCATGCTCTTAAAAGTGGCTGATATGTTGTTGCCATTCAAGTTTTCTCCTCGTCACATCGTCTCTCTTCGATTCTCGTGCTCTTAGCTATCAATTAACTCAATATGGCTAAGCGTACTGTACCCATACCCTTTTAACTCCTCATCCATAGTGATCCTCTATACTCTACTGCATTTTTACGATTTTCTAAAATGCCTTTCACTCACTTTTACACTCTCTTAAGAGCTTCACACGCTTATGCTGTCAGCCTGGCAATATATATATATATACATATATAAATAAGTTGACTGTATATACATATATGTATTCCACATATAATTTATGCGAACCACGAAATTTTATATTCCTCCCATGTTCTCAGCTCAATCCAATTTAATTTGCATGCATATATTTTTCTATACGATCAGCTCCAACTCTAGACTCTTCTACGTTCGTTTCACTCACTACTACGCACCCGTATGAGCGACTTGTAGTGAGTGAGAAGCGCGTAGGAGATTGCAGAGTGTGTACATGAGAAGAAAAATATAATATCCTTCTCATTCCCTACTTTGTCAAACCTTGGAACGTTCTCCTCGGCAAGGAAAGAGAAAAGCAGCTTTTTCTTTTATACCTAATTCTTAGCTCTTCTACACGCTTCTCATTTAATACAATGCAGCTTCTCATATTTCATTATTCACTCCTACCTTGTTTTTCCTTCGAGTGGAGTTCTATACGCTTCTCACGCGTCCAATTCTCACTTCACCAATTACAAATAAAGTTAAGATACATATTTTTATTACTATTTA